ACTACTACTACTGTTGCGTGTAATTAAATGAAATGAAAATATTCTCACATAATTAAATTAAGTGTAAGTCAGTGTCACATTACCTTAAGAAGGTATGGTGCTTCCAACCTTAGATAACTAATCATGAGGACAGACTGTTGTTTCCTATTTTGTGTCATGTCAAGCTCACTTTGCTTATTACTACAGAAGATGACAACACGCCAGCCCTGGGTACTATTCAGTCTTTTCTGACAGTGTACCAATGTTCTTCTACCTTATTTATGTATTTATGTCAACTACTCCTTCCCAGCCATCTTTTGACTTTAATGCTATTTCTTTAATAGACCTGACAAATCAGCCAATTCTTATGAATTTAGGGGGTCTATATCAGGCAGTTTTCATCATCACTCTTCTTTAAAAATTTTCCTAAGAGACTGATTCTTAAGAGATTGATTCATATGTTATTTCCCTGTAAGATCCTGAGCTCCCAGAAGTCTTTGTGTATTTCCACACAGCAAATAAGGTATCTAGTATTAAATTTAGTATTTCCATAGCACAAAAACTGAATTACAGTATTTCTTGTCACACTAAATCATAACATATGGATAAAACATTGCTCAGGGTAGGTGGAGGTTCAAGAAAAAGGGGGTAGTGAATGAAAGCAAGAGACAGGAAAAGGAATATTGTGGGACTGTCCTGCTTCAAGGTTGTATATGGTGAGATGTTTGGACTTATGTGCAAATATGAGAAGTATATAATTCTTTATGCCTATTTTTAAAATATATTCTAATTTTTAAATTTTTTATCATATTCTGTAGGGACTTAAAGTTCAACATATCAATACTTGATGAAAAATACCTGTTCCTTATTATGCCTAAGATGTTTGATATGCAGAGAGATAGTGAGGTTAAGCTTAATAGCCTAAGTTGTTTGATAATAACAATAAGCTTGTCTTCTGGATGGTTAACAACCTAAGTTTGCAGACCAAAATTAGAGAAAAAGAAGGGCTGCAAGGAAAGCCAACATTTTGACCCTAACCTTCTAAGGTCAATTAAGACTCAAGACATATGAGAACTTGTACTGTAATGTCATGTAACTCGATAGTGTCCCAAATTTTCTGATCAAGGAGATTATGGGGCCAGAGAGGAAAGTGATCAATGATGCAGAGTGTGCCTAAGGAGAGTCACATGGAGAGAAAACATTGTCTCAGGCTTTCACAGAGAGTACATTGGCCAAGCAAGGGCCGTGACTCATCCACATGGCTGACACTGACAAAGGTTCTACAATCTGAGGTACAGGATCTCAAGATAAATCCTGAGGGGATTTCATTGACCTTATCAGACCAAAAAGCTACAACTCTTGTTGCATAGGTCCTGCTTTACCTTGGTCTTAACCATCTAGCAGAAAAGTATAAAAATGAAGTATAAGAAGTAAAGCCATGCTGTTAAGTTGAGCTGTGGGGGACTCAGGTCACCAGTTTCTGACATTGCCAGTCAAGCAGAAGACCCAATACTATTATGGGCTACTGGACTCTTTTAGAATATTTTGCTGAGTTTACACACCTATAATATTCAAATAACGGAACTTAACAAAAAAAGGGGATACAGATGAATGTCCATTTTGTATCTGTGTATTCAAAGTGGTTAGGATAGATATATAGTTACATTCTGTTAATGAATAGAATGATATGTTCTAATGGTGTTTGTAAATAGGATCTCAAATCCCCATCTTGTACAGCAATTAACCACTAAGAAGAATGTATGCAGTGTGTTAGTTATTGAAACTGTCCTAGTGATTTGATTTGAAACTGTCTCATTGCTATTTATCAATAAAATTATGAAAAAAAACATTGCTCAGATGTATGGTTTGTTAATAAGGAATTTAAGTTGTAACTGGCATTATGGCCAATTCCTAAAAAATATTATAAGAAGTTAATGAAGAAAAACTTAAAAAGCACTGACTATATTATATAGTCTTTAAAATAGTCTATAACGTCCAATAAATCTAAGATGTTATGTAACATTTTGTGTAACACTTAAAAGGGAACATCCCTTCCAATTTTATTTACAAGAGGCATCAAAGTGAAAAAAATGTACAGCTAACAATCAGTGGTAATAATAATCACATTCATAATTTAGCTAATCTTAGGTACTATGTGCGACTAAGTATATTATAGGTCTCACAGCAACCTGCAAGCTGCATAATAATGCCAATCATTCATTAAATCTGTTAGCTAGAATTTTGTTGGCTATACAACTGAATATAAACTGGTCTTCTGATAAGCATAATTTATACTAAATTATATTTCTATACATTTGAACAATAATTAAGGGCTAGCCATGAAAAAAGGTCTGCACAGTACTCGTGTAAAAAGCATGTACCTGCACCACAGCAAGCTGTTTACAAGTACTAAAGGCAGAGAAGGGTATAACTGAAAATGTTAAACTTATGGCATTTGTTATGTGAAATCAACAATATAGTCTAAAGAACAATTTTTTCATTTTAACAGTGTTAGGAAAGTTTTATTATTTTAATAACAACAATAGTATCTCAAATAAATTGGCTGAACATTTCAAAGTAAGTTTATTTAACCACCTAACTCCAGGCCAATTATAAAACTCTTCAGTATTAAGAAATATCATAATGCAAAAGTGAAATTCAGGGCCAGCCAAATGCTCAGCGGATGCACAGAAGCCAGGTGTTTGATCCCTGAGCCTGCCTTGCCAGTCCCACCCCCAGGGCGGGCTGAAATGGCATGCTGATACACCTGTAATCCCACCACTTGGAAGGTTATAAACAGGAGAATCACTAGGAGTCCGATCTAGCAGGAAGACCCTGAACACCCTGTAGACCCTTCCCTAAAATACAAAAAAAAAAAAAAAAAGTGAAATTCACTCTCATCAATTCTGTCTGATCAAATATTCATACTAATATAATTAGCATAGATTATTTCAATATGTTGAAATAAGATGTAACAGACCATAAACTATCAAAAATAATGTTTCTGCATCAACACAGAGATGAACAAGCACACGCTCTCTCTCATGCAAAATGCCATGGTTTATTTCTAAAACAACTTCTCAAAGTTGCTCTTATTTATTTTTATTATTTGCTATGTAGCTGGCATTTTTCAAATTGCTTCATACGTGTTATCTAAACTCTTAGTAGTTGAAAAAGCAAACCTCAAAGAGTTAACATGGTCAGAATCTGGGTTAAATCTACCTACAGTTTAAGTTTTCTAGTCAGGCATAGTGGTACATGCCCACTTCCCTAGCACTTTAGGAGTTAGCTAAGGTAGGAAAATCACAAGTTCAAGTCCATGCTGAACAATTTAGCAACTCAGACTCTTGAAAACAGCTGGGGCTATAGCTTAGTGTAAAGGCCCTGAGTTCAATCTCCCTCCCCAATCATGTGCACATGCATGAGTGCGCACACTCACGTACCCAAATTCTCCATGAGACATTTTTGCAAAATAAGGGTTTAACTCAGTATTTTCAAATTTCTACAAGACAGGAAATATATTCTCAAGAAATGCAAATACTGAAAGATATGTAATGCTGAATATCTAATTATAATTTTTATTTTATTTTTTTGTATGTAGGACAGGGTCTACAGGGTCTCACAACACAGACCGGACTTGTAGTGATTCTCCTGTTTTCAGCTTCCCAAGTGTGGGATTACAGGTGTGCACCGCCACGCCCAGACTCAATCACCAGTTTCAGCATGCCCCAGGGGTGGATCTGGCACAGCAGGCTGAGGATTGAACCTCTAATGTCTGCATCTGACCAAGCAGGCACTTTAATCTGCTGAGCTGATTGGCCAGCCCCTAATTATAAATATTTAAATGTTACTATATTGACAAAAATGAAACTTTGATTAAACTAACATTCTTAATTAAGAATGAGAGTTCTTTGTCTCAGAATCTCAATTTTTTTCTCTATTGGTTTGCAAAAAGAAGACAAATGGCTGTAAATTCTTCTAGAAGTTTGCTGTATTTACAAATGCTACTATCTTAACAATCTGAGATATTCTTGAACAAAAATAATTGAAAATTATGACAAACAGCAGAAAATTTGTTTCAGAAAAGGTAACTTGCCAATAAGTTGGTGAACCTTACATATCTTCATAATTAAGGCCTATTTTGACAGAAATAAATCTAGACAGTTTAACAAGTTTACCCTTCCTTCATTCTCTGTAGAAAGTTTCCAAATTTATCCATTTAACGACTACCAAATGTGTATCCAAAAATGTCAGGATTTCATGCAAAGTTTCAAAGCAAAATAAAACAGTGCATCTAGATTCCAGGTAAGAATATACATAGAGGTGAATTTAAAAAAAAAATCTTTTATGTATTCATTTGGTACAGAGTCTTGCTATGCAGCTTGGACTCGTAGTCATCTGCCTGTCTCAGCCTCCTCAGCACTGAGATTACAGGCATGCACTACCAATCCGGGTTTCAGTGGCTGGCATGGCATGAGGTGCCAGGGACTGAACCTGGGTCTTTGTGCTTGTCAGGCAGGTGCTTAGACCACTAACATATCTCCTTGGTCCATAAAGGAGAATTTTTAAAAGTAAATGTAATGTAGAGCCTTCCTAATCAGTAACAAAAAATTTCATAGCATGTCTAGGCATGTCAGGAGTAACTTTATTCCACAGTCTTCAATACTTATGAATAAGGATTCCTACAGAAAAACTAACAACAGATTCTATTATGAAAGTCTAGGCAAAGCCCTGTATATAGCTAATTTATAACAAGTAAGCACAAGAATAAGTTCCATGACTTCAAAGTAACATCTTGGGCACCTCTGTAAACATGTATCTCATTTCCATTTCCGCATCACAAAAAAATTTCCAATATGTTAAACTTAAAAGCATCCTATGATTCTGCACACTTTCCAATTTCCATTAGCTATATTCTACAATGAACATTCATTTTATCTGCTCCACTATATATCTACCCAAACTTTCTATCCACCAATCTATTTTTTGATATACTATCAACATTTCAAATCTAGACACTGGTGCTCACTTCGGCAGCACATATACTAAAACTGGAACTATCCAGAGAAGATTAGCATGGGCCCCATGCAAGGGGGATGACACACAATTCGTGAAGCATTCCATATTTTTTTCACAATAACATCCAAAAAAAGGAAATACTTAGGTATTATCTAACAGAGGAAGTAAAAGATCTATACACTGAAAATTACAATTACAACCCTTTAAAAAAAGAGATGGCAGAGGATTTCAGAAATGGAAAGATACGCCTTGCTCCTGGATAGGAAGAACCAACATAGCCAAAATTGTTACACAGATTTACTGCAATCTCTATCAAAATACCATCAGCATCCTTCACAGAGCTAGAAAAAACATTCTTAAAATTTATTTGGAACCAGAAAAGCCTTAGAACAGCAAAGCCAACCTTGGGCAAAAAGGCAAGACAGGAAGAATTACAATTCCTGGCTTGAAATTATACTACAGAACTACTGTGTTAAATCAGCATGGTACTGGCAAAAAAAAAAAAAAAAAAAAAAAAAAACAAACAGAACCAATGATCAGTGGAACAGATTAGAAGATACAAATACAACTACAAACACACTTAGCCATCTTATCTTTGACAAAGGGGCCAAACATGTTCACTGGAAGAAACAGCCTCTTTAACAAATGGTGCTGAAAAAGCTGGCTGTCTACATGCTGTAAACTAAAGTTAAACCTAGGTCTATCACCATGCACTAAACTAAAGTCAAAATGGATTAAAGATCTAAACATTAAAATCTCCTGGAAGAGAAAGTAGGTGGAAATGTTGAAGATATAGGTGTAGGCAGAAAATTCATGAGCAAAAACCAAACTGCACGAGAAATACTGCAAAGAATCAGTAACTGGGACCTCCTCAGTTTCTGCTTGTTAACAAAAGTGAAAAGACAACCCACAAATTGGGGGAAAAAATCGTAACAACAATCACTAAGACAAGGACTTCTATCTAAATTATACATAGAAGTAAAAAAATTGGCCCCCCAAATTTAAAGACCTAATTCAAAAATGGGCTTGTGAGATGAATACACACTTCTCAAGAGCAAGAAATACAAATGGCAACTATGTGAAAACAAATGTTCCACATCACTGGCCATTCAAGAAATACAAATTAAAACAACTTTGAGATACCATCTTACCCTAGAAAGAATGGCTATCCCAAAGAAATCAACTAATAACAAATGCTGAAGAGGCTGTGGGGAAAAAGGTAACCTTCTCCACTGCTGGCGGGAATGTAGACTGGTACAACCACTATGGAAATCAGTGTAGAGACTCCTCAAAAACTAGGACTGGAAATCCCATTCAATCCAGCTATTCCACTTCTGAGTACTTCCCCAAAAGAAATGAAAACATCATACCACAGTGATATATGTGCACCCGTGTTTATGATATATGTGCACCGGTGTTTATAGCAGCACAATTTGTTATAACCAAATCTTGAAAACAACCAAAATGCCCATCATCTGAAGACTGGATGAAAAAAATGTGGTATTTCTATACAATGGAGTACTACTCAGCTATAAAGAAAAACAAACTTGATTCCTTTATAGGTAAGTGGATGCAACTAGAGGCTATACTCATAAGTGAAATAAATTTGTAAGTATCATATTGTCTCCCTAGTGTAAGAACCTGAAAGAATAAATAAAATCTGAAAGGTATGAGATAAGAGTAAAATGGAAAGAAAATAAACTTCAGGATTAAACAACGAAGATGAGAGAAAGGAGAAAAGAAGAAAAAAAGCAGGAGGGAAAAATATGCAAGTATATATACAAGATGGCCATACTCATAATTTTCATCAGTTGTTTTTTTTTTAAACAGCAGTTAATATTTAGAATTTTTACCTTGAGTAACTCTGCATGCTTCTATCAGTGATCTGAGCAACTACATCAAGGACAGGAAAGTGTAATACAAAACCTATGGCTGAATGCCTCTCATCTTGGTTTTCTAAATGCGTACCATTTCCAAAGTCCTATCAATTATTACACTCTCTTTAAAATAAATTAAAAGAAAAAATCTAGACACTGTTGTCTGCATAGTAAAGACAGTTCACTGCTGACAAAAAACCAAAGTTACATAGTGGAAATACAAATCTTAATGGCATTATTTTATGAGTTTCATTAAATGCATAAATTATGTAACTCATAACTCACAAGATCATCACTCCTGCCCTTTTCTCAGTCAATGCCTGCTGTCCATTGCTCTACCCCTAGAAACAATCAATGACTTTTTTTCACTACAGGTTTAGTATCTTACTTCATAAAAGTGTAATAACACAGTATGTCTTCTTTTATGTGCCTGACTCAGGTTTTTGAGATTCACCCATATTAATATATACGATGACAGTTCATTCTCTGCAGTGCTACTGTCAATTACATGAAGAAGTCACAATTTCTTTAGTCATCCTCATAGAATGATGAACATGTAATCTGTTGTCAGGCTATAACTAACATGAATAAAGCTGCTATGAACATTCACATACATGTGCTTCCATTTCTCTGAGTAAACAACTCAAAGTAAATTTCTTCAGATAATGGGTTAGATATAAATTTGGTTTTATAATAAACTGAAAAAATCTTTCCAGAGTGGAAGTGTCACGTTACACTTCTTCCCTCAATACATCGAAGTTCCTGCTTTTTCAACATCCTCACCACTTGGCATAGTAACTCTATTAAACTGTACTTCGGGGATTATGCAGTAGTATTTTCTTGTTTTAATTTATATTTTCCTAATGATATCACACATTTTTCATTTTCTTACTGGAGTTCTGTATATCTTTTCTTTTTGTAAGGCATTCAACTCTTGTTTTTTAAATGTGACCATTTATTGCTTTACTACAGAATTAAAGAAATCCCTAATAAGCTTTGGATATAAAGCTGTTTTGGAAATTCGTTTTGCAATTATTTTTTCTACTCTGATTTGCTAACTCATTTTTCTCATATTAACAAGATACTTTCAATACTGATAAAGTTTAACTTACCAACTTTCTGTTATTGCTTTCAAAATCCTTTAAAACCCTGTACTGCCAAGCTACAAATATATGCCCCTGCATTTAGTTATAAAAACTTTACAATTTAGCCTCTGAATGAAAACTATGATTCATCTGGAATTGTTTTCAGTGGTATAAAGTGGAATTAGGTTCATGCTTCCATTTGGATACCCAACTGTTCCAGTCCTCTTTTTTGAAAGCATTTCCTCTCCCTACTTCCTGGATCTCTGCTGAAAAATCAAATGATTACCTAAGTTTTTAATTTTGTACCATTTACCTATTTTATTTTTAATGTATTTGGTTCAGGATCTCATTACACAACTCGGACTCACAGTGTTCTTCCTGTCTCAGCCTCCCCAGTTTTGGGATTACAAGAGTGCCCCCCCCCAACACCAGTTTCAGTAGCCTGAATGGCACATTCAGGGTTCTGGAGCAGCATGGCATGTGATACCAGGGACTGAACCCTGGTCTTGGTCCTGGTCCTTGCCCTTGCCAGGCAGGCACTTAGATTACTGAGCTATCTCCCCAGCCCTAATTCATACATCTTTGACCCATCACATTTTGAAAAGGCAAGCCATTCCCACAGTGCCCTTTTTTTTACTGCTATCGGAGCAACTCCTGGTGGCCTCTTGCTTATTAGGTTTTGTGAACAGAAGTCTGGTGCCAGTATATATATTTCTCAAGTCCTAGTAGAAATATCAAACTGAGATCTGAAGATCTTCAATTTGGATGAAGGGAAGGGAAAGTAAAATTATAAATATTAGTTTCTCCAAGGAGTTCTCAACTTGGGCTCCTTTTCCAGAACACTTATCTATATAGACTATGTGAGTGATGAATTTAAGTATAGCAATGTTTGTCTGCAGAAATCCTTTTTGCCAGTCTTGCAGGAATGGCACAGCATCTCAATTATGAAAGCGTATCACATACAACCTGTTGTTCTCAGATTCTGGCTCTGGATAAATACTAGAAGACTTCTTTTATTAATATTCTAGTACTTCCATGTAAAATATAGGCAAGTCATAGGAGGCCAATCACCCTATTCCAACAAACAGAGGGATAAGAAAAACAAAACAAAAACTTGTGTCAAGACAATGGAGAGCTATCAAAATAATGAAATAAAACTGAAAAAAAGTAACAATTTTTTTAGGTGCACTGACAACTACTTGCTACTTCCTCCCTCTTGGTCCTCTGCAGATTGTAGCCACAGTTAAGGGGCAAGGGTTGGTCTGGGGAAGAAATTCTAATCAAGAAAAAAACACAGTAAAAACTGTCAACAAGCCCATCAATCTCCTACAAGATAGGCATCAGATTTTAAAAATGAGGCTAAAAGACAAACTTAACCTACTACAGATTAGAAATGAATTTCCCAGAGTCTTTGAGAATTGGGTGACAGTGTGCCATGCTTTCAAAATCCCAGGAGAACCCTGTGGGCAGAGAGATATAAACTAGTGCTAGCCTAAGTCAAATTAAAATGTCATACAAGTTCACTTCCTGATTAGATCCAGGTGATCAGTCTCCCACTTCAGTTTGCATCTATATGTCCCCCTAAAGCCTAATACAGTTATGGGGGATTGACAGGCTTTTTCAGTGGTAGCTGAATCTAGAGTTTGTGACCCATTCACCGTCCAATGCTAACCGTGTGCTACATTTGCCTTAGGGCAGGTAGTCTACAAGAAACAGAAAGAGCCTTATCTCTCTGTTGTAGTTTTTGATGTTTTCCACAGCTGTGAATAACTGGTTATCCATCTGCCATGTGCCACCCTGCCTTGGAGCCAACTGATTATGGATTAAACCCTCTGCTAACTACAAGCTAAATAAACTTTTACTCCTTTAATTTATGGGCATTGGCTCTTTTGTCTCAGCAAGGAGAAAAGTAACTAAAGTAGAGTTAAGGTTATAGTTATAAAGAGAATGATAGGCTTTAAATATCAGTCCTGGAGAACTCCCTCAAAACACCTAACTATAAACTTAAGTACCAGATACAGGTTAAGCATCTCTCAAGATATTTTTCAAAATCTGCTTCACTTTACCAGAAGTTCTTTCACAACTAATAAACTTAGCCAAGAGAAAATATATCAAATAGGTTGATTAAAATGCATCTATTACTTATAACATCAAAGTTCTAATTTGTACTTATGAAAATTTCACTGCTCTGACTTTACAAATGAATGTTACACATTTGAATAAACAAAATTATGCATAATAGAATGTTGTCTGGCAGAAACCTTTTCTATGAAAGGTACAATTTAATGTTCCTCTTGCAAAATATGAAAAGAAAAATGAGTAAATATGTGTAACTATTTCAAATAAACCACATTCATAATTAGTGTTTTAATAGCTTACAAATCTTGCCTACGTTATTTCAATGAACCTAGATGTTATGCTAGCATCATCATCTTTCATACATGAACTAACAGTAAAAAGTATAGTCACATCTTTAGAATCATTTGTACTGAGGAAGCTAAATCAAAACTACTTTTCAAATTTCTAACTGAAGAGTTTCCTCCATCATAGTATTCCATATATAGAAACTCCCCAATACATTTCCCCTATGGATACAAGAGAATTAACTCTTCCTGAAATAATGTAAAGGTACCAGTTTAAGAAAAATTGAATACCATAGTTTCAGTTCAAAGACTTCTCTTAAGCTCTTCCTATTTAACTAGACAAGTAGAAGGGCACAAAATATGAAATCAGAACTAAAAGTTGGCATTCTGCATAGTTAAACTGCAGTGATGTTTAAGTTAGAATATGCAAAACAAAATCCAAAATTCAATGACAATGTTAAAAAGAAACATATTACCCTGGAAGGACACAAATGACACACCAGTGACACAACTATCACTGAAGAGGTGACCTGGGTAACAAGTGAATAGGGGAGGGAAGAGGTGATGTATCTTTCCACTGTCTAATTTGTGGCTTACTTTTAATACTGTTGAAAATACAAATACTGTTTAATGTTTTTAAGTAATTCTAAAAAAAAAAAAAACCATAAGGAAACAAAACCAGACTTGCCTTTGAAACAAAAACTGATTTTTAAGAATATAAAAAGCAAACAGCCTTAACTTATATAGACAGGAATTAATCAGCACCATGCACAGTGTCACATGTCTATGCAACCAGCTGTGAGTTCAAGGCCATCCTAGGTAACCCAGAGAGACAATGTCTTAAAATTTTAAAATTGCCAAAAAATTCCTATTTAATTATGCTGGCTATTAAGATAAAACATACTTTTATGTTTAAAACACTAGGAAAAAAATTACATGATATTTCTTTTCTTTTTTTAGGTCCTCTACAGATAATCACTGAACAATTTACCATATCATATTTGTCTCCAAGTTTCATGATTAACATTTTTAGAAGCATACTTTATAAATTATAAACTAAGAAAATTCCTTATTTGTTAAAATAAATACTGAATCTAATAAAGCATTTTCCAGATTCATTCAGGTAATCAAATTCTCCTTAAATAGGAATGTGGTTATCTTGCTTTATAGATTTTCTGTAGCTGAATCATCCTCAGATACCTGCCATAAACTTTACCTTGTAATATTTCCTTGTTTTTTTTTCTTTTTTAAATAATCCAACTTGGTACTGGTGATACAGCTCAGCAGTTCAAGCACCTGCCTAGCAAGCACAAAGTTCTGAATTTGATTTCTAGTACCAAAAGAAAAATCCTCCTTTATCAGTTTCAGAGTTTTATAACTTTTGCATCTAAGTTTGTAAGATTTGCAGAAATTTTACTTTTTCGGCTGTGGTCTGACTTTAAAACATTTTCCTAACATTAGCATTAAAGAAACTAAAGATTAGGATTGGTTCTTTGCTATTACAGACAACAACAAAAGATATCAGAAATCTTTGATGGTGTTCCTAATTGTTTCCTTAGGATAAAAGATAAACTTAAGCAAATACATAACTAAACCTCCCTCTGAGGGAAGCCCTTACAGCTTGTAAATACAACAAATTTATTTCCTACAGATGTATATATGATAGTTAGAAAACTGCCACCATGAACACTAAAGTAATCTGTTTTTAATCCGCAGAACTCCATTGCCCCCAAGTTTGGATTTTGCTTTGGTATAAGCTAATATATAGTGAAAGCCATTTTTTTTTTAAATTTATATATTCTCACCACACAGCTCGGACCCATAGTGAACCTCCTGTTTTCAGCCTCCCCAGCACTGAGATTACAGGGGTGCACCACCACACCTGGTCTCAGTGGCTAGGTCAGTGCGCCTGGGGCTGGGGCTGGCACAGCATGCAGTACTGGGGATCGAACCCCAGTCGCTGAGCTTGCCTAAGCAGGAGCTTAGTCTGCTGAGTTATATTTCACCAGCCCTCATTTTCTCTTCTCACATCTAATTCTTTATTAGATATCAATTGCCACTCTTACCATATGACTGTCTTATGAAAATTTCCCTCAGTCTTAAAAACTTTGAGACAGAAAAAGCTTCAAGGAACTTAATGTTACTTAGCCAATTGTAGCTTACCAGGTCAACTTCTGTCTCTGAATTATCTTGTGTCACCATGCACAATGGTAGGAAGAAAGTAGAAATGATACATATCCTTAACTGCAAGGTTTCAAACCTTCAGATGTGGCAAGAATAATTAGTTGAGGGAACCAGGAGGGATAGAAAGCCAGGACTGTTTCTAACTTTAACAAGTTCATGAAGCCATAATTTGTATGCCTCACTGCCAGGCAGCTCTGATGCGTGTCCCATCAGGCAGAATGGGATAGTCGTACATATACCACTAAGAGGTTCAAGTCCTCAGGAACTTGTTAATCCCACTTTAATAGTAGTGAGGCAGACAGTCCAAGGGTAGAAGCTGCTAAAAGTCAACAAAGCAAATATAATTGATAACATTCGCCTTTTTAATTCAGAAATTTCTCACTTTCAGTTGAATTTATCTATATTTGTAAGTCTAAAAAATCTAAAGTAAGTTCACTTTTAAATAAATGAACTTCACTAAGACTATTTTATACCCCATTTAAAATTTTTTACTTAGTTTTAATTTACCCATAACAAAGCTTTTTCCCTCCTACTTCCCATACTTTACACTTTACATAAATAGAATAAATTGCATCTAAAATTTATGTTTATGGATAGTTAACAGTTAAGAAATAACTGCTCTCCTAAAAAGCTAGAATACACATGGCACAGAACTATAGTATAAAAAGCTAAATTTCTGACAATCAGCACTAACATCTACATTAAAAACACAACTTAGGGGTAAACGTCAAGAAGGAAACTCTGCCTACTGAAAAACAAGGTAAAGAACAATGATCACTTATCTTACCTTCATTAATTAACAGAGTACAGAGAAAAACTATTCTTGATGAAGAAGCTCTAGATTATGAAAAGAAATTTCTAAAATATGCTATATAAAGAACAAAAAATAAGAAACAGGACTAAGTTGGCCTTCACAGTAGAAACCCACATGGAGTTACTTGTAATCACCAGACTACCAAGTAAGAGTGGTTTCTCCTTGAAAGAACTCTACCCTCTGGCTCCCCTGTGGGTCAGTTGCTACAAAGACAATGTGACCCCTTAGTGCAACTGGACAAAATCATATTTTATCTTTGCCTTGACCACTGAGTTCCCTTTGTTGAGACAGCTTACTAAGTGGTCTCCCTAACTCCACTTGTGACAGGCTATTTCATTTCCTCAATGGAGTTAGATGCTATTACTTAAAATTTAATCTGACTTCTGGACCTTCTGAACCTAAACCTTTTCAGTGAATCCACACACCAGTCCCAGTCAGGTTGATTGTAGTAAACTCCTAACACACAGCCTGCTGTGATTTCTGACTACATTCAGAGTCATCCTGCCATCTCCTGCACCCTTCACTCTATATCCTAAAGACAACTCCTTGCTGGGAACCCTTGGCCAGTCCTCCTTGATCGCCACAGTATTTATTCTATAGTGCTACTCTTGATAAAAACACACTTCTGAATAATGCCACCTTTGTACTTTCAGACTCAACCCTGACACCAACATTCCTCTAAAGGGAAATTTTCCACAAACTTTCTCTGTATGTAGTTTCCTAAGCTATTTGTTTTACAACACCTATCACATTTTGTGAAATTCTTATTTTAAAGTTTCCCTTCCTTATTAGGAAGCAAATAGTGCTCCCTTCAGTGGCACATATACTCAAACTGGAATGAAACAGAGAACATTAGCATGGCCCCTGCACAAGGATGACATGCAAATTCGTGAAGTGTTCCATATGTTTTCACAACTAAATCTTAGAAACAACCCAAATGCCCATCAACTGGGGAATGGATAAAAAATATGTGGTATTTTTTTTACAATGCAGTATTACTCAGCTATTAAAAAAAAGAAAAAAGATAAACTCAAGGCTTTTATAGGTAAGTGGATGCAACTAGAGACCATACTCATAAATGAAATAAATCAGATCTACATGTGTAAACATTGTATTGTCTCCTTAGTGTAAGAACCTGAAAGAGTAAATAAAACTCAAAAGGTAAAATAGATACTGTGAAAGGGAAAGAAACTGTTTAAGGGGAAGGAGCAACTG